GGGGTGTCGCAAGAAAGTGTTAAAAAAAGTGTAAGATTTTATGTGAACAGCCCCAACACCACGCCGACCACACCCGCCCAACGTCAGCGAGAGTTTAAGGACCTGACGCATGTGTCAGGGGACAAACTGTTTTTGTACTCCAAGCAATTTTTTATTTTTTTTGGGTAGACAGTCACATTTAACTTTTGATTTTGATCTAACAAAACTCTATATTGGTTACTTTTGATTGCAATGGGCATAGCAACAATACAATGTATTCCAATAGTTCCGTGGCTATACGTACGTCTTGCAACTTTTCTTGCAACTTTTGCTACTTTTTCTTGCAACTTTTTCTTTTTTCAAATGCAACTTTCTCTGAGGACAGGTTAATGATCTATTTACATGGCCCCATGTTGATTGTCCTTCTCTGATTAAGAACAGCTGAGCCAGAAGTTGGTTTGTCAAACCCATGCCATAGAGGGTAGGCATCATCCTTTCCCATTCATCAGAAAGCGGCTCTTCCTTGCAGCATATTGTTCACCTGTTGATTGAAATGTCAAGATATTTTGTAAGATAGGCTTAGGAGTAGTTGATTTAATTAACATACAGATCTAGGGGTGCTTATATAAAACATATAAATGAACAACAGGTTAAGTTTGTAGTTTGTTATGTTTCTACTCTCGACAGGAAAACCCAATGAAAACAGCCAATCATAATGTTAACTTTTGTTAAGAGATTATCATCGCTAAAAATAGCACACCACAGGCCAAGTCATTTTGCTCCTGTTTTGCTCATTCTTCATGTCCAAGTACATAGACATTTTGCAGACAGGTTAAAAAACCTAAAAATATAATCCTTGATACCAATTATTACATGGGAAAACAATTTAAACTTCATCATAAAATTATTCCATCACGTCAGGATGAAAACAAGCTCTGGTTTCACCATCACCGTGAGACACAATGATGGAATGGCATTTCAACCTTCTAGGCATCTATTTGCTTAAAAAATAGCACATTAATTTATTAACAAACACTTCTTTATGATAAATACGGTATTTTTTTACTTTCCCTCCCGTCTCACACTCGGCTACCAGTTGTCTATTTTCTACTAAATATTGATGCGCAGAACACGAATATCAACTTCATTTCCGTTGCAAATTAATAGTTTTTGAAATATTTTTTTGTTTTTAACCGAGATAGACGTGCTTTGGACCAATCGGGGGGTTCCATGGGGGCCTGCCCCACTGGGGTAAAAGAAAATCTGGGGGGTTACCCTGTTTTTACCCATAATTTGATATTTTACAGTTAGATTTGAAATTGTCTTGAAAATAATTGATTTGCGACAGTTTTAGTGGTTTTATGTGTGATCTGCAGCAAACAGTACTGCAGTTTGACCCCTGAAACAGTGCATCTGTGTGTGGGAGTGAAAGTAAAAATTTACCATAAATACTTACATGTTTTCATCAGATGCAGCTAGCGATGTCTCGTTTTGCATTTCACCCGAATCCTGACCGAAACTCGCTCCGCTGGTAGAACAGTGTGATTCTCCATTTTGCCTCGGCCGCGTCCAGGCAAAGTAGCTTTACGTAGACTTAATTAAACTCGATCGTCTCAGTCCATCCTGGTGCGTTCTATTACGTTTTAAACATAACACATTTGTAGATAAAAGGATGCTGCATCTGAATGTGGACGGGGTTTTTTTTTTCGAAAAAAATCCAAAATCCGTGATAAAGCTGACATTCCATATGCCCGAAAAACCGATGCGAACTTCGGGTGCGAATTTCGCTTGCGAATTATTTTTTTCGCACCAACGTTTTTGTCATTGGGTGAATCCATATACCGGAATTTCGCATGGCCGAGTCCGAAATTCGCATGCGAAGATTTTGTTTCGCACGAGGGAGCGAAACTTTTTTCTTCGCATGCGAATTCTTCGTGAAGTGGGCGGGGCTTATTTCTCGCCAAATCTACTTCAAAGGAACGAAGCGGCAGGGAAGCACTAGGTAAGTGGGAAAACGTCGAAATGTTGATTTCCTTGGTTCGAGAGAGAAGTGTTAAAACCAAGACTGAAAAGAAGTGTTTATTTTCAAGGTGGCTGTCATTTGCATGGCAACCACTTTTTTTTAGTTTGTGGGAAACTTTTGGGAGTCTATGTAATCTATTTATGCTATCATTTATCGTTTAAATCATGTAATAACTAAAAATAGCATTTCACTTACCCCCCCCCCCCTCCTTAATTAAATGCACTTGAATATAACTTCTAACATACATTAATTATAACTTAAGATTGCTGTCTGCGCCGCAGCCACATCAGCCAGCGCTGTCGGTGATAGGACCGAAGCTTCGAAAAGAAAACGACCCAAGAAAGCAAAGCTTATGAAGAAAGGACCATCATCAAGTCTGGACAAAGCAATTTAAAGCTGCTTTCGTAGGAACAGGAGTTCTAACAGCAAAATTCTCTTGTTTTCAACGTAGAGTGCTTGCTCTGACTGAACTGGTGCCGTGATTTCAGTCAGATGACGGATACGAATTTCGCGTATATGGAAGGAAGGCTCTTTTTTCATTGCACCCGAATTTCGTACACGAAATTCGCACCCGAAATTCGCATCGGTTTTTCGGGCATATGGAATGCCAGCTTAAATCACACTTTCAAAACTTTACACGAACATTCGTAAGGGATCCCAGAGAGTATTTAATTATATTTTAGTGTCTCTGTGGATCCTCAAAGCGAAACGAGAAAAAGGTTGCATCCGGAAAAGTAGAGCAGCTTTTCCAGATTTTTATGGTCGAGACCGCAAAGAAATCCGACGTTCCAGGTCCGAGATATTGATGATTTAAAAATGTCTATGACAAAAATCACGGATTTTGCTCTCGCCGATATATGAGTCTATTTGCTTTTACTGGTTCACTTTAAAACCCTATAAATTGCTTTAAAGTCAAATAAAAGTAAATATTAAACAAATTGATATAACAGACGAAATGTTGCCGATCAATGTGGGCACATTTTTATTGCCAAATGTGAAACTAAAAGACATACAGTGGAAACCATATATAACAGGTCCGGTAATAACAGGGATCCGGTAATAATAGGGATTTTATAAATTTTATTTAAAAATTTCTTACTCTTTGTCTCTATTAAAAGTTATCGGCAATAACAGGGCCTCTTTGGAGCCCAACCGGTTATAGCAGGGACAAAAGCTCGTTAACAATGTGTAAAAATTAAGAGAGAGAGAGAGAGAGAGAGAGAGAGAGAGAGAGAGAGAGAGAGAGAGAGAGAGAGAGAGAGAGAGAGAGAGAGAGAGAGAGAGAGAGAATAACGCAGTGATGGAGCAAGCCTACGCAAGCCATGCCACTGCAAGCACGTGCAGCTTGTAAAGCGAGAGAGGGCTGCGGTGTGCTGGTTACCACGATCTAGCCCGAACCTAGCAACACGCACGCGTAATGTGTCGCCAACGATGTCAAGCGCAAGAGAAAATGCCTTTCAATTGACAAAATAAAACAACACGAAATAATCCAGGCTGTTGACAAAAAGCAAGCTCCACTGGCAGAGATTTGTTGTCAGTTCGACATTCTACAAGGGTCGATTCACACCCTTAGATCTATCATTTATCAAGGATAGAGAGAAGATAGTGGAAGCATACTCCAGTGGAAAGTTTGGTCTGGATCGAAAGAAGATGAGACTACCCGATGTAGATGCTGTGGACCAAGCTCTTCTGATGTGGTTTAAGGCAAGGAGAAAGTTGGTGCCAAAACCCCTGTTCGTGGGTACTTGTGGCAAAGGAAACTACCTATGAATAAGTACAGCTGGATTAGTCCACAAATGCTTACTTTCCTTGCATTTCTGATTTAACAGGGATCGGATATAACAGGACATTTTCTCTACTCCCACCATCCCTGTTATATCAGGTTTCCACTGTAAATGACTTGGTTATACTTGCGAAAATCTGCATTTTTCTCCTTTGTTTTTGTATAGTGTTTTACGGCGCTCGCAACTGCATAGGTCATATGAGCGCACGGGACATTCCTAATATTTTCAGTTGGTAGGAAATTTTGAATTTTGCCCGGGTGGCGGCCGAAGCCTACTCTTATCGATTTTAGACCACCAAGGGATCTTTAACGTGCGCAACTTGCACAAGGGCCCTCCGAGATTTTTCGCCCTTGTCTGAGAAGGCTAGGTGTAGATCTTTCCAACCAGAAGATCAGGGGTGTGGCAGAAAGACAGCAGTAAGAAGGAGCCAAGGAGTAGCAGTAGAAAGGCTGCAGAAAGAATCAGGAGCCCAGAGGAGGGGGCAAAGGAGGTGAGGGGGTGGGGGCAGAAAGTGGAAATGAAAGCAGACAACAGAACATTGCTAGAGAGCAGGAAAGGAGGTGAAAGGAGACAAGTTTAGAGAAGAAAATTTTTCGGTCGCTACCTGGATTCGAACCCGGGACCTTTGAATGAGAGGCCAACACCTTAACCTCTAGGCCACGAGAGCCCCCCATTTTTCTCCGTCGCGTCGGCGCTTTCCAATCGGCAGCGTGCAGGGTTTGGACTACACATCTTTTTAAAAGGAAAAGAAAGATCATCAAAGTGGTTGAATTTGCGTGAAAATCGATTCCGTAGCCTAGAACTGGAACTATTAAAATTTGCTTCTGAAAACAAGGCAATTTTTATAACTCGATGAAATAAAAACTACTGGCTGTGTTATTCTGTATAAATTGTGAGACTTCAGGACGTATTATTCTGTCCCCGTAGGATTATGCGATTGTGCGGCCGCTTTTTTTCGCGTAATTCTGCAACATTGCATAATTTTGGATTATCCGCGTTTTTTTCCCATTTTTTCCACAAACAATTAATTTTTTTTACGCCTCGACATGTGACTAAAGGGACGTAATCACCGTAATAAGTCTCATTTCAGTGGAAAGTTGGTTATTTCCCTTGTTAAAAGATCTTGATGGGTTGTGATTTTGTATCACAGGTGCAGATGTCCTTTTAAATTAAAAAAAACCAACCCATTTTTCTTTCCTCTATAGATTTAGATCAACAGCTGAAAGTTACAAGTTACAGAGATTATCATTTTTGGTTGTTTTTTGTTTTGTATTTGGTAGCGTCAATTGCCACCAGGCTAGATCCTGTGTCCGCGTGCACGGCTGTGTGCATCTCTCTGCCTTCCTCTCCGCCCGTGTGAGTGTGTGTGTCCATCACTTGCGTTCTTTGTGTTTCTCTTGACACACTCCACTGCTGCGGTGTAAACTGTGTTCGAACTTCGATGGGTCATCATGAAAATATTGATTGTCTTGTAAATGAAGCGTGCTTGAAGCCGAAGTTACTGTGCTTATAGGCGTGTAATTTATATAGCAAAAATTCAGTAAGAGCCGTTTAGCGTGCTTGAGTTCGAAACGTGCTTAAGGCCGGCGTGCTTAAAGCCGGCACGGAATGTATACTGTTGAACCCTAGAATGCTGAAATGAAAACAATCAATTTGTTAAAGCAAGGTTATTTCACACCAATTTGAGGGTTTGGGAGATGATTTCAAGTAAGAGTCACTTACCAAATATTTACAATCTTGACTACGAACAGCTGAGAAAGTGGTGGCGCCTGGGGTCTTGTGCGACTAATTTATATTATATTTTCCCTTCATCATATTCGCCTATAGGCCTATATAAACGATATAAAAATGAATCTTGTTTTGAGCCTAGAACTAGAATATCGACTGTCATGATTCATATCATATATATCTATAGGCCTATATAATAAACATGAAAGATAAAAATTAATGCTCAAACTCAAAGTAGAGTAGAAGAGTCCAAGTAGACCTATTCAGTGTGAGAGGTGTAAGGGTAAGAACAGTGGGAGGGTAAGAACAGTGGGAGGGCAAGATGCAGTGATACTGAAAATCTGCGAATCTTGAACAGAAAGCCAAAATATAGAGATCTAATTTACTGTCACAAATCCAATGAAACGCGAACACTTACGCCCCTAAGTTCGATAACACGCTGACAAGTACAAGTTATGATTATGACGGTTTCCGATTTCACACAAAGCCTGCACCAACGCACACTTTACTTTGCAGAGAGCAGAGCTGTAGTTGTAATCAAATTTCTACACATTAAACATTTTCTTCTAGTTCCAGTTTTTTTG